AATCCCAACACTCGGGAGGCAGAGGCAGGCAGATCTCTGTGAGTTTGAGGCCAGCCTGGTCTACAAGAGCTAGTCCTAGGATAGACTACAGAGAAACCCTGTCTTGAAAACAACAACAACAACAACAACGACAAAAGAGAAGATGGTAGGAATGGGAAGACAGCCACCAGGACAGTTTCCAGGGCCTGGGGAGGAGGAAGGAGTGAGGTTAGGGCTTGAAGTGCAGGGACCTCGCGGATCTGGTCTCTTGGAAAGGAGAACTAAGGCTCTTCCAGGAAGGGACCTCAGGCTTCAGCATGCCTCCCGTGATTAATAACTACCTCACTGCCTCACCTAGCTGTCTCCGCGGCTTTTGGGTGGGGATTCTCTGTAGCCCACAAGGAAGGCAAGAAAGGGCAGAGAACACAAAAAGACTCCCGAGAACCAGGGCTGAATCTGGGGCTTCCTGGCCTGCACTCAGGGAACCACAGACTTTCTCTGCATCTCCAAACAGCCCTCGGTGTCTTTATTTGAGCTGCTTATTAACCAGAGGACATCGGGGCCCAGGAACAGAAGAGCTGGGGCCCAGGGCCAGCCAGTATAATTCAGGAGCTGTGTGAGCAAGGCTGAGAAGCCAGCTGGGGCATAAGACTGTGGTCTTGTAGCTCCTGGGGACAGCCAGGGGAACCAGGGTCCTCCATCAGCAGTGCATGCCCACAGAAGGGAGGAGAGTACCCTGAGTGGCTCTGGGGCAGCTGGTGGCACATTCACTGACTGGGGTGAGGAGCTGGACTTCCCTTTCAGAGCTGCACTTGAGGGAGGCTCCTCCCGTCTGTAGAAACACCTCCCTGCCTGCCCTCAGCTTCTCTAAGAGACTTTTAAAGAAAAACCCTGAACACAAATGTCCCAACCCCAGCATCCTCTCCCTACTCTCCCAGCAAGCTGCTGTGCCCATCCCACCTGCAGAGTAAGGGTTCAGCCAGCTGGCTCCTGGGGTGGCAGGGCGGGGCGGGGGGGGTTAGGGGTGTGGGGTGGTGTGTGTCGTCACATCAGAGATGCAGAGCACCCCGTGCCTGAGGTGGTGTGGCCTCAGAAGGTGTCTGTGTACAGACACATGCGCGCTAGCCAGGCTTCAGCTAGGTCTTGGGTTTCGAGGGGACCGGGTGGGAACGGCTCCCACTTGGCTTTTCTCCACAGCGATGGTGGCTGGAGGAAGGGAGAGCTCCGAGTGGTTGTCCTGCTACCAGTGCCTTAAAAATGACGATGGAAACATGGCCCCAGCAGTCGGCCTTTGGAGCCCATGGGAGCAGAGGAGAGAAGCTGTCCTGACTTACCCTCCACCCTGTGCTCTGCAAACAGGAGACCCAGCCTTCATCTATCACTTCAGAAGCTAAACAACTTCCTCAGACAGCGTCGAGGCGTGTAAATCAGGAGCCACAGCGTCTAAGAAGCCTGTGCACAGCCACAGCCCACAGTGAGACTTGTCCTCTGGTTCTTCCCTCCTGACCTCACAGAGTAGGGGGCTAAGTCACAGTCACAGTGTGCGCGACCACACACACAACTTCTCTGGACCTCCATCCTCACTTGTGAGTGGATTAGTGCCGTGCCTAGTTCATAGGTACCATCAGGGGGAGTTAAACAAGGTGACACCCTCGGCATGATGGGACACGTCCATAATTCCAGTACTTGGGAGATGGAGAAAGGAGGACCAGGAGTTTGAGGCCAGCCTGGGCTCCATGAGACCCTGTCCCAAAAACACAAAGACAAACAAAAAACCCCAACTATCACAAGAATAAAACAGACAGAGTTCAGGTAGTGTGCTCTGTGTAGTGTTTGCTGACTGCCAGTGGTTAGACGCTTATCATTTCAGGGCTGAGCCATCCTCAGACAAATAAGGAAAAGCAACAGCTCTCCAGATACCCATCCCAGGGAGCAGGCTGTGGGCCAGGACCTCAGCGGTTCCTAACGCCCCAGCCTGCTTTCTCTTGCTCTGTCTCCGGCTACCTAGTGCCAGGCCTGCCTACTCCTGGCAAACTCTGTGGCCTCCAACTTATCTAAATTCTCAAAGAGAAGCCCAGTGGAGACTTGGACCTGCTGGAGGAGAGACAAACCCAAGCCCAGACGGCAGTGGAAGACTGTCAATCAGCTCAAGATTGCCCAGCGAGCCCTGTTCCCACAGAGAGCTACTTTTTCTGGCAGGCCAGGGAGTCAACTTTTGTTAAAAACTCTTCCCTCTCATACAAACTCCCACAAACAAGTGCAGCTCCCCAACTAAACATGTCCATGCACGATGGCTTTCCTGTTTTAAGACGATCGGACACCATCACTTCCACTAGGACGGCACTGTATCCCACTGGGGAAGGAGATCTGGGGTGAACCAGCAGGTTTCTGCCTGGTGTGGCCATGCCAGGACAACCTGAGGCATGCAGCACGGGAGCCAGGCAGGATGGGAGAGGCGGCTGTGAGTACAGCGACCTTTGTCCTGTTTGCTCTTGGAGAGGGCTGGCCCTGCCAGTGCTGCCCTGTTCTCCCGGTGCCTGCCTGGGGCTCTAGGCTGCTCAAATGTTCTCTGCGCCTGAGGCAGCAGCGTGACTTTGGTGGGTGACAGAGACCTCTTTAGGCAGTTAGGGCACTGTGGAACGTGTGGAGACACTGAAGGGACTGGACAAGGTGTGTGTGCTCCTGCCCCACACCGAATCCCTTCCCTCTGGCTCTTTGCCAGCTGAAGGCTTATCATTAACTAGTCACTTAGGCAACCTGTGCCAACCTGGACACTGTCCCTGGGAGGAGCTAGGGCTGAGGGGCCCTGCAAATGTACTGCACAGCCTTCTTGACCCTTCCCAGCTCTGTCCTCTCTTTAGCCCTGCTCGCTGCCAAGTAAGCGGTTGTGTTGATGATCCTGATGAGGCTGCCTGGGCCTCTGGTTCCCAGAGCTGGACACAAACATGGAGACAGTGATGCCTGTCTGATGAGAAAGTAGGGTGCTCTGCTCTTCCCTGACTAGCTTCTTGCCCGAGTCTGTTTTTTGTTTGTTTTTGCTTTTTTCTTCTTTCTCAATCCTGAATGAAGCTACCAGGGCTTCAGACATTGAGCCAGGCAAACTATTTCTCTTGGGAGGAGTCTTTCTTGAGCTCCTCTTTCCTGTCCAAAGCTAGACCCTGGTTCCCATCCCCTTCGAATCGTGGAGGGCACTGCCTCTGGCAGCTCTGGCTCGGCTGCCAGAAGAGCTCTGGGAGGTCAGAGGGGAGCACCTTTCCCTTTCACTAACAACCCAGTCCAGCCCCTGTGCTTGAGGACTGGGTGTATTAATAGCAGCTGTTTTGTTTTCCCACCCCGGTGCTTGTCCCTGCGCTCGCTCGCACGGACGATAAGAACGCACAGTGTTCTCTACCAGCCACCCTTCTGCCCTCCCCCAGGAGAGGCAAGCTGGGGGCGTGCACTCCTCTGTTTAAAGCCATCACTGAGACAAACGCTGAGAAAATAGACTTAAAAGTTTATATTCGGTCTCTCTTGGCTACTGTTGCTGCTCAGCAAAGAAACTCTATATTGTTTAAAGCCTCCAGGCGAACGGGTTGCAAGGCAACCTTCAAACAATAGAAAATACCCCAAACTAAAAATAAGAACATGAAGGCATGGGAAGCGTAGTGGTGCTTTGGTGAAATCACCTTGCAGTCAAGGCGAAGGGGAAGGCCGTCAAGTGGATGCCTAGATCACATCACCGTGTGAGCCATTTATGCCCTCACTGTTGCGTCTCTGACACCCCAGGCACACTGGGCTCCTCTTCTTCCTATTCCTGAACGTTCTGTCTTTCCAGTGACCACAGTCCCCATCCTCAGATGCTTCTCTGTCCCAGGGAAAGTTCCTAAGATTAATAATCTATGGACGTGTCCTGAGGCTCTTGCCTTGAAGTAATCTCCCATCCCCAAGAAGTCCCTTGGAGGTCCCTAAGAAGGAAGCGGAGCACAGGGACAAGACTGTGGTCTTGGGAAGGGAGGAACACTACTCCTAGGCCGGCCTGGACTTACACTGAGACCCATACAGACAAAAGCAAAGCGAAAAAGAAAGCTCAAAGAGAAGAAGTACAGGAAGAAATACAAGCTGGATGGAGAGGGAAAGATAGGACAGGCTGAGGCCAAGCTTCACTGTGACCGGTCACACGGCCAGAGCAGGGGGCATCTCTGTATTTTGAGGATGGAGGAAGGGGCCTCGAGTCAAGAATGTGGTAGGTAGCTTCTTGAAGCTGGAAAAGCAAGATGGATGCCCTTCAGAGCCCAGAGAAGGAATACAGCCAAGCAGACACCTTGGCTTTTGGTTGGTAAGGACTTTGGGTTTCTGGCCTAAGAAATTTAAGACAGTGTCTTTAGAGCCTGTTCTGAAACTTGCTCTTGTAGACCAGGCTGGCTTCGAACTCACAGAGATCCGTCTGCCTCTGACTCCCGAGTGCTGGGATTAAAGGTATGCGCCCCCCCCTTAAGACAATGTCTTAAACAATCAAGTTTGGTGTTATTTGTGTGGCAACATCAGGAGACAAATACAATGTCAGGAGACAATACAATGTTAAAAGTAGAACCAGATGGGGGGTCTGAGTGGGGAGGTGGAGGGAGCAGGAGGAGGGGAGGGATAGGGAAGTGGATTTGGCATGTAAAATGAGAAAAGACAGTTTTTTTAAAAAAATAAATTAAGATAAAAAAATAAAATTTAATTATAAACAAACAAATAAACAAAAAGTAGAACCAGTGGCCCTCTGATGAAGTCAAGAAACCCACGGTTTGTTCTTCAGCACATGACACTCCAGGACCAGACCAGGAAGGCAAAACTTGCCCTCCATCTCCCGCACCTTATAGCAGGTGGACCCCCAGGGTCTGGCCCCTATAGTAAGAAAAAGGCTATGCTCTCTCTTCCTGTCCCACCCTCACAGCTGTCCTCTCACCGGCTGCCAGGTCAGGTTGGTCAATAGATTATCTTCAGCAGCTGGGATGCTGTATTTTCTCCCATAACTTGTGACCCATCCAACTAGTGACCCAGAAAGAGATCAGACTGGAAAGGGAAACCAGAGGTTAGCAAAGCAAGTCACCTCATCAGCTCCACCTCCACTGCAGGCTGCCAGCCAGCAGTCACTGCGGATTCTCCCCGGCCTCTCTGGAAGGAGCCATGGGAGGGAGACCTGCAGGCCTTCTCTGGAAGCAGGCTCACCTTGTCTCAGTCTGCTCGCTGACTAAATGTCTCCTAAGGACTTGCACGAGAGAGCCCATAAAATCTTCACCATCTCAACCAAAGCAAGAGGAAAACACTGGAGCCCCCTGTCTCTTGGATCCTAATTTACTTTGTTCTCCCTACATTGCTAGGAGACGGGAACCATCAGTCCTCTTTTATAATCTGGAGCCCCGAGTAGTGGAAAGGGTGAGTAGTACAGCCAAAGGCACGCAGCAAGTCAGACTGAACCGAAGCAGACCCACAGGGCCCGGGTCTCAGGCCCAGTTCTGGGCTTTGGTTGTACAGGTCAGTGGGGTGTGGCCTCTGGGTAAGTGGTCTCAGTGGAACACAGAGACATAAAATCATTAAACCTGTCATTACAAGGCAGGCAACTGATGTCCCAGTAGAAAGGTTTTCCAGTCTTGGGAAGGATCTATATTGCTGTGTGTGTGTGTGTGTGTGTGTGTGTGTACATGCGTGCATGTGCATGTGCGTGTGCGTGTGTGTGTGTGTGTTTGGAAGGTAGTCAGGGGAGAAGGGATGGCACTAAACCACTGTCATCGGGTCAGGGTATGTGTGCTCTACACATAGACACAAACCCAAGAGCTCCCCACCAGTGTCAATGCACCTCCCTTTCTAGCTTCTCTCGGCTCTCCTGGTTTTTCTTCCTCTACCATTCTTTTGAGAGATCGTAAACTCTAACTTCAGGAGCAATGCTAATAGACTCCCCAGAGTCATTGCCAAGGACTGCACTGCCTAAGACTGAATAGCTGCTGAGCCTCTGCTACCGGAGCAACCAGCACCCACAGCCGCGCACACGGAACAGCTCAGCTCAGGGCCGCCAGTCTGCTGACCTTTCTCAGAGACAGGCTTCAGGGACACTCATTTCGGACTCTCACGAAAGGATGCCCCTTTGTTTCCTGTAAAAGCAAGAGAATGGAATGGACTTGATTTCAAAAGACACTTTGAGTCATAAGTATCTACAGATGTACCGGTTACCCCTGGGGGCTGCTGTGCACACGTGGATGTGTAGCGTTCTGCCAGGTGCCACCCTCAAGGGCTCAGAGTGGGCAGAGCTGGACTGGGCAGAGGTGGAATCAGTAACTGATGTATGTAACATATGTGTAAATATATATATGATCACACACACATATTCCATAAACGCACACACCCAATAACAGAATAAATGATACCAAGACTCAATCTCAAAAGATGCAGAAAAAAATACAGCACATCCTTTTCGGAGAGAGACACTCAAGGATGTCTACCAGACACTCCAAATACACACCTTAGCTAAAAGTGAAAGATGAACAAAGACATCCAAGTTCAAAACTTCTATTTGACATTGTTCTGCAGGTTCTAGCTGGGGCAAGAAAAATAAACCAGCAAGTGTTGGCAGCCTGGGTTGGTGTCCCAAGCCTGTGATCCTAAGGTAGAGGCAGGAAAATCCAACATCCAAGGTCAGTTCAAAGGTAACTTGCATAAAACGAGACTTTGTTTGAAAAAAACTAAACTAGAAACCCAAGTCAAAACTTCAGCCCCCCACAAACAAAACACAAGGCCTGCTGGCAGCAGTGGGAGAAATCGCAATCTTTATACAGTGCTTCACTGGCGAGAGGGTGGCTCTGAGAAACTGAACATAGAGTTACCATAGGACTCAAATGCCACGCCTGGAGGGCAACCTGCTAAATGAAATAAACCATTCAGAAAAGGGCAAACAAAGGCTGAGATCCCACTTCCGGTAAGTACCTAAAACAACCACACTAACGAGAGGGGGGGTGGTAGGGGGGAGGGAGAGAGAGAGAGAGAGAGAACCCAGCGAGATGGTGAGGGGAAGGCAGAGATTGGTTATTTAAATGGATACACAGTTTTTACAAGAGGAAACAAGGTCTGGCCTGCAAAACAAAACCAATGTTCTTCCCTGAACCATAACTTCAAAGTAGCTAAAGGGCCAGGCATGGTGGTGCAGGCCTTTAATCCCAACACTCAGGAGGCACTGGCAGGAGGTTCTTGGTGAGTTGAAGGCCAGTCTTAAAGAATAAAATAAAAATAAATAATATATAATGTAATATATAAGATATTATGTATTACATATTATACATAATATTACATATTATATATTATTATATAAATAAATTAAATTAATAAAGAATAAAATAAAGTAAAAAGTGGTTAAGAAGCTTGAAGACCTGAGTTTGAATGCCCGACCCCACACAGGTGAAAGGAAAAAAGGGACTCTACAGAGCTACCCCCGACCTCCGAGCACACACTGCGGCATGTGCACACCTGTACTCACATCACATCACACACTGCGGTATGTGCACACCTGTACTAACACTCACATCACACAAACCTATCATTTAAATGTGCAGACAGAAAGTAAGTCAGTGGTTGTTCAACATGGGGGAGGGGTACTGGGAGAAGCTGCCGGTCGCGGGGTTTCTCTTCAGGGTGGTGGAATATTCTAGAAATAAATGTAGTAATGGTTGCACAACACTCAACAGATTGGGGGCCAGCTAGATGGCTCAGCAGGTGTGAGTGCTTGCGGCTGAACTTGTGCACGACCCCCGGAGACCACCCGCTAGAACTGAAATTGTCCTCTGGCCCCCACGGAAGTGCCATAATACACAGGCCCATCCCTTACGATAAATAAATAAGTGGGGGGCTGGGGGAAGGAGCACTGTCGGATCACACGCTTAGAGGCCCAGAACAGAACGGGGTCTGTTTCTTTTAAACCCCAGTTACTATCAGGCTGGTACTTTTCCCTCTTGTTGAAGGATGGGGTATGAAGCTGTTGCCGTGACAGAAAGGGAGGCGTGCTCTCCACAGACAGGAATAAAGCTACCTCAGCTGAAGCACTCAGAAGAATGACTGCAGAAGAGATGCCACCCAGTGTCAGAGCCGTGGTGTGAGAAGCTTCCAGAATAGTTGGGTAGGTCAAGCCCCGGGCAGAATGCAGCTAAAAACTTCTACTGCAGGGGCCCGCCAAAGGGCTTTCAGGCCCCAGAGCTGTTTTTCGAGATGAGGACGTTCTACACTGCTTAATCACTTTATAAATCTCTCTTGATTTCGGGGCATTTTAGAGACCCATATGTGCCTTTTGATTTGTTTTTTCATAACTTAATTACACGCTGAGGCACTACGATAGATACAATCTTCAGAGCGTTTACTTTCGGAGCACTAGGCCTAACGGCTGGAGTTTACAGATAGAACAGACACAGAAAGCCTCAGGAACGCGGATGAACCAGAGTGTGTTGTGAGAAGGAAACCAGCCAGGAAAGACAGAGGATGCCAGTTGCAAGGTGCCTGCGATCAACATCAGGAAGACAGAAACAGGCAGGGTAGGTGCCAGCAGGGAAGGAGAGTAGGCAAGGACTGCTGGACCCATCTCAGCGCTTTCGCTCCTGCAGGATGGAGTCTGCAGGGTTCACGTGCGGCAACAGGCTCATGGGAGACACCGCTGACGGGGACACCACCGAGAGATGGGGGAAGATGCCGCCTGGAGCTCAGGCTCATTAGCTCAGCACTTGGGGGTCAGAGTTTGAGGCCAGCCTGGGATATTTCGTTTCTGCCACATTTTAACAAGATTTAAAATACAGCACCGAGCTAAAAGCCTGAGTTCACTTTATTGTCCTTATGACTGCCGTGGAAAGAATTCTTAAGTGTGATGACCCTGCTGATGTGTTTATCTTTTTAAATAATTTTTTTTTTTTACTTGTGATGGAGTTATGGAAATAGGCCACTTGGTTTAATTTTGTGATTCTTTCTACTTCCTGGTTCCTCCTGATTATGCAATTCTGGGGTTACAAATGGGTAAAAAGGAAAAGTTCGTGTGCCAGCCTGGTATTTTTCATGGTATTGCACTAAAGAGGAATGAGAAATGTTTTCATTTACATGAAGATTTAAAGCAGAATATTTATGTGTGCCTGTACTTGCATAAGGTTATGTGTACTGTGTGTGTAGGTGCCCCAGGAGGTCAAAGGTCATAGGACGCCCTGGGACTGGAGCTCCAGCAGCCCTGAGCCACCCGATGTGGGTACTGGGAACCCAACTCAGATCCTCCTCAAGAGCTATGTCTCCAGCTCCCACATCAAGATAATTTTTGACAAGGTCTCCCTATGTAATCTGGCTGACCTTCCATAGCCCAGGCAGGCCTAGAAGCTGATGTGATCCTCCTGTCTCAGCCTCCCAGGTTCTGGCATTACAGCAGTACCACTATACTCAGGTCGACATAATGTTCCCATAAAAAAATTCTCTTTAAGTAAATTTGAATCTGGGGGGATTCACAACTAGGTAAGATATCTTCTCTCTTACTGTACTTCAGGCATATTAACTGAACTGTTATTTTTATTTTATTTTTTACAATTTATTGCTTTTTATTTTATGTACATTAGTGTTTGCCTGCCTGTATGTCTGTGTGAGGATATCAGATCCCCTAATGAAGGAGATCTGAACTAAAGTTACAGACAGTTGTGAGCTGCCGTGTGGGTGCTGGGAACTGAACCCAGAGCCTCTGGAAGAGCAGTCAGTGCTCTTAACTGCTGAGCCCCCTCTCCTGCCCCTTGAACTATTTCTTCTTTCAATAAACCTAAGAAGTCACAGAATCCATCTTGAGTAGCACACAAAATCTTGCAGAGATTCAAAATAATTTTTTGTCACACTGACTCCAAAATGTAACCATTTTCCCAAAGTACTTGATTCAAGAGAAACTTAAAAGGACAGGTACTCATGAGACTCGGGGCAGAAGGTGAGCTCTGGGAACAGCCACTCACTGTCACACAACATACCATGTGACTTCTGAGTTGCCATCCCTGCCTTTGAACAATAACCATCTATGCACTGCCGAGTGTCTTAAAGACACAGTAACATTCGTGGTCTGTAAACTTCTTCCTAAGCCTCATGGGTGTTCTAGTGTTAGATTTACACGTATTTTTAAGATATTTTATTTTTAGCTATGTGTATGTTCTTAAATCAGCATGTGCACATGTGTGCAGGTGCCTGCCAGAGGCCAGAAGAGTGCGGGAGTTACAGAACGTTGTGAACTACCTGATGTAGGTGCTGGGAGCCAAACTTGTTTCCTCTGCAGAGAAATATGGACTCTTAACCATCGAGCCGTCTCTCCAGCCCCAGATTTATATATTCTTTGATGCTAAGAGTTGGTGACTTCCGAGTTCAAAGTTCACAGGCCACATTGTTGCAGCACTGTTCATCCTGTGGTTCGAGACCCCTTTGGGGGAGGGGATCAAACGACCCTTTCACAGGGGTCACCTAAGATCATCAGAAAACACAGGTATTTACATTATAATTCATAACAGTAGCAAAATTATAGTTATCAAGTAGCAATGAGATAATTTTATGGTTGGGGTCACCTCAAGATGTACTGTATTAAAGGGTCGCAGCATTAGGAAGCATTAGGCTGAGGACCACTGCTCTATCAACTTTTACCACGACAGTCTCAGTTTCATTTTTTTTTTTTTTTTTTTGGTAAATTTTGTGGTAAGATCACTGGCTGCCTCTCTCTATGGAAGCGGGTACATATAGATAGGTGTTTCCATGTAGGATGCAAACTCCCTATAAATACTAGGGGTTAACTGGGTTGGGGATGTAGCTCAGTTGACAGAGTGCTTACCTAGCATGCATGAAGCCCTGGGGTTGCATCCCAACACCACAGAAACCAGGCATGGTGAAGCATGTCTGAAACGTAAGCACTTGGGGAGTAGAGGCAAGAGGAGCTGCTCAAAGTCATAGTGGGTTCGAGGCTACATGACAGCGCCCACCCACCTAACAAAAAACAAAACTAAAAAACTTAGAGATTTTTTTTTTTTTTTTGAGACAGGGTTTCTCTGTGTAGCCCTGGTTGTCCTGGAACTCGCTCTGTAGACCAGGCTGGCTTCAAGCTCACTGCTTGTTAGGGAATCCACAGTGAGTTCTCACCGACTGGGACCGGCGCAGGAGCCGCATGCAGCTGTGCCAGGATAACTCAGTTTGCCAGGACAGGGCTCCCGGCCTCACCCACCAGTAAGGATCATGCTCCCTGATTTAATTCTGTCAGTGACTCTTTGGTCACAGAAAGATTTGCTCAAGAAAGCTGTTCCTTTTCTTTTTACCAATATTTACTGACCAAAGTGGCTCATCTGCCTAGTAGGCCCAAGGACTCAGTTCTGCTTTTTCTGTGCTTATAATCCAAGAGGAGGTCAGACAATCATGCAGTCAGCACACGGAACAGGACTTGGGATGGCTGACCTCGTTTTCACTTGTTGATTGTTCCTGGGTGACACCAAAATCGCGCGACTCAGTCCTAGCTCGCTCATCCACTGCTCTGAGCATCTGTGTGTGCATATTACAGTAATGACCGTGTATGATAGTCACCTGATAGGAATATGTGATGAGTCCTCTATCATCCCCGACCCACAGGCCCCACCCAGCTCCACCCCCTCGAGGGTCCTACTGGTTCCTAGGAAATCTCCTCCAGCTTGAGACCTGGGAGTGAAGGAAGGTGTCAGGAAAGAATGTTAATGCTTTTTCCAGTAGCTGATCTCAAAAGCTTGGCAGAAGGAGCAGAGTCCACTGAATATTTATATTCACCCTGATTAAAAGAACTCACCAAGTAGCTCTGTTGTAATCCTTTTTCTCCCTTTGGTGCTCGGGATCAAGTTTAGGGCTTCACACATGCTAAGCACATGCTACCACTGGCAGCTACACGCTCAGCCTCTTAGCTTTGTTATGAAGAATACATTATTTAGAAAAACAATACTTCTACCTATTTTCATTGTTTATTATATATAAGTTTTCTAGAAAGAACACTGGGAGCAAAGCTGCAGAAAATGACAGTCTGTGAGTGAGATTATAGATATCTTTTTATTTGGGTTTTTTTGAGACAGGGTTGCACTGTTTAGCCCTGGCTGGCCTGGAACTTGCTATGTAGACCAGGCTGGCACTAGCTCTTGAGAGCTGGGCTTAAAGGCATACAATATCACACCTGGCTAATTATAAATTCTTTAAACCTATGACATCTACACAGACACTGCATCATTCACACACCTCGCCAACAACAAACGAGGCACCGTTTACTCAGCTGACGGAAATACAAATTGGTGTCGGTTTCTGAGTGGCAACTTGACCCCATTTACCTATTTATTTATTGTTTTGAGACAAGATGCTCCTTTTAAATTTTCCTCTTTTTTTCCCCTGGTTTTTTGAGACAGGGTTTTTCTGTAGCTTTAGAGCCTGTCCTGGAACTAGCTCTTGTAGACCAGGCTGGCCTCAAACTCACAGAGGTCCTCCTGCCTCTGCCTCCTGAGTGCTGGGATTAAAGGCGTGCGCCACTGCCCCCGCTTGACTGGAGTGGTTAGTTTGTTCTATCTTTCCTGATGACTCACTTCAAATAAAATCTACTCTTCCTCTGGGGTATTCTCTTTATGAAAAATTTCCTTTAAGCACTCCAGGTCTGGGACATTTTGTAGACTATCTCTTTATTTTCTTTTCCATATCACTAAAATCACAGTTCCAAAGTTACGCAACTGGAGGAGTCTCTCGAACTAGGAAAAGCAAACTTTATTGCCTTCCCCCCCTCCCCCCGTACAAATCAATCAGCTCGCGCACCATGAGCTCTATTTGCTTAATCGGGTCAGCGTCGTGACTTTAGCAACTGCCCTGGTTCAATATCAATACAATCATGGAAATGTACACAGAGCAGTCTCCATGCACAGCCTATTTTTATAAAGAAGTAAAGGATTAAAGAAATGTTTTCAGCTTTTGAGTCAGGAAATTACAAAGTAACGCTGGTGTAACCATCTGTAATAATTAAACTCTTTGGATGAGTCCGTCATCAGACGGGAAGCGTCATCTTTAACAGTATTGTAGGTATGAGTTCTGTGTTGACTTTATATCCGGTCGAGATCATTTACCTTGTGGCTAACAATTGACGTAAAGCTTGATTCCAAAGCAAACAGCAAGGAATTCTTGAGCACAAGCTATCCTTAAAGTATTACAATATGGTGTCTTTATTTCCACGTGTGCTATGGGTGTGCACAGCATCTGAGTGGAAATTAATGTACTGTGTGTGCTGGAGACTGTTGCTGACAACATAACCATCTCTGTAAATGCTCTGGTTGCTTGTAACACATTAGGAAATTGTATGAAATAGAAGATAATACTATCCCTGGTGATATACTAAGTAGGATAAAACAATAATCAAACTATAATTCTTATTTGCTTAAAAGTAAATACACCTTATCAAGAAGGCTGTCTACATCATGCACTAATATGATGGGGATGGAGAGATGGCTCCGTGGCTAAGAGCACTCACTGCTCTTGGAGAGGACCTGGGTGCAGTTCCAGCACCCACATGTAGGTTTACAATCCCCAGTACCAGGGGACCCAGCAATCTCATCTGACCACTGTAGGTACCAGACACAAATGTGGTACACAGACATACATGTAGATAAACACTAAAGCACATAAAATAAAAAATAAATAAATCTGAAAAGAATGTAAAAGGCCATGATAACAAACTAAAAATGCCTTCAAAATACACAAAATAGCCTCTGAAAGGATGTCACCATAGTTCAAACCATCCACCTCCACGGGCTGACTGCAGGTACAGCTGGATGCCAACAGGCACTCAGGCTGGAGGCCGGACCAGTAGGGCTTCTCCTGTCATCTGGGACAGGTGGCACTAGCCTTAGAAGGGGACATTGGTGCCTCCAAAGTCTTCTATTGGACCTTACATCAAGCTGCAGTGAACCAAAATTTGAATGCCAAAAAGCAAAGGCAAAGGGTTAAGGCTGGCTGTTTTTCATTTCTTAGAAGCTAAAATATTTTAAAAACCAAGGACAGCTCAATTTAGATTACAAAAAGGTGCTCCGATGAAAAGCAAATGTGCTCCTGACTGTATTTTGAAGTAGATGGTTAGGAAGCTAATATAGAGTTTATGACTAAATATAACCCTCTTTTAAAGGCAGAACATATTGCTGGGGGGAAAATGTCCTCCATCCTGGGACTTACGGCACAGAGTAACTAAAATGTTTTTCCATTCGGTGACTTTGCAGTGTTGGGGAGTATCGTTCAGTAGACCCAGGGAGAAGTCCTAAATTGGAAAAGCAGCTGGGCCCAAGGTCATCTCTTGTGTTTCCAAATATATCTTGAAACAAATGTAAGAAGGGCACTTTGCTGAGTGTTATCTGGACATATATAGTTTCAATCAAATTCTGCAAGAAGTGTCAGAATAAAAGCTGAACATTTGTTTGACATGGCCAAGTTCCTGGCAAGTGGTCTTCTTGATGGCTGAGGCTCTCCCTGACAACTGGGCAATTGTTCCAATGAAAATTCTCCTGGCTCTCAAGGGAAAGAAACCAAGCACTGTGAAACACCAGCTTTGATTTTTTTTTAAACACAGGAAATCATATAAACTTATAAAAATCTCTCCCAACAAAAATATCCCTTTAAGATATTGTTCCTCAGCTAAATTCTTTAGCATTATCAAATCTTTTTTTTCACAAACCCAAAACTGTTACATACGATTTTTTAAAAAGTGTAGATGATACCTCCCTGAAGGCTGGATCTTTGTCTGGGTGTAAAACTATCCCCCAATATAATAAACAAGTTAGCCGGGCGGTGGTGGCGCATGCCTTTAATCCCAGCACTTGGGAGGCAGAGGCAGGTGAATCTCTGTGAGTTTATATTTTGGTTTCAAAAAAACCAAAAAATAACAAACAAATTAATTGGCCGACTGTCTGTTGCTCCTCCCCACCTTCAGTTAAGCCCAGAGATGATCACGTGCTCTTCTCTACACAGTGACCCTCTCGTTCCATCAGCAGTCACAAGGAAGCTGGACAGTGAGAACCAAGAGGCCGACAGCTGCTGCTTACCCCAGCAGCCCCTCCCTCATGCCCAGTGGTGCTGGCTTGTACCCCAGGGCATTCTCTTCTGGAGGCTTCATGTTCCCCATGGAGTCCCTGCTCCTCTCCAAGCCAGATTCTACGCGTGCTTCCAGGAGAGGCCGAAGCACGAGCGTTGTTCTTCATTGAGTTGGCCTAGGTCACTCACCCAAAAGGTCTTTCTTCCCTTTGAATTCTAAATTGATCTTTAACCCCCATAGGACTGTAGCGCCCTCCACACGACATAGAGGAAATAAACTGAATCATAAAACAAGCGTCTGGAAGTCCAATAGAGTTCTGCTCTCCATAATAAACTTTGATGTCTTGAAATACCAAAACTTAGAGACAATCTGGGGGTAGTTCTGCTATTGGCTAGGCAAGCACTACAACCCCTGCTATCGCTGGCTCACTCTG